TGTGTCGAGGACTCTTCAACTACCCCAGCAGACTGACCGACAGCGCAGAGGTGTGTGTTTGTGTGTGTGTGTTTCTACTTCTACTGTAAACATAAGGTCAAAATTTACTGGTATTACTATACTTGTGGGGACATTTGGTCTTCATAATGTGATGAATACCAGGACCACACACACACATCAGTGACAAACACACACACACACACACACACTTTCTCGCTCCCTCTTTCACACACAAACATGCATGTGTATTTATAAGAGTGTGTACATGTTTGTGTGTGTGCTCCTGGTATTCATCACATTGTGTGGACTAAATGTCCCCACAAGTATAGCAATAGCAGTATTTTGTTAATGGTGTTGGTCTCCTTGAGGAAACAGCTTGTAAATGAGTCAGAATGCAGGACAGTGAGTGTGAGGGTTGAGTTTAGGGGGAGACCAGAGACTGTACAGCCTGAACACTACAGATATGAGGAGAGAGACCATATACCATCAAAACTAACCTGTGTGTGTGTGCGTGTGTGTGTGTGTGTGCGTGGGTGCGTGCGTGCATGCGTGTGCTTGTCAGGACTCTGCGTCGGACCGCTCGGTGTCAGTGCAGCAGTATCTGCAGGGTCTGATCCAGAGCGCCTCCAGCCGCTGTGTGAAGGCCGACGCTCTGCAGAAGATCTGGCCGCTGCTGTTCAGCGAGATCATCAGAGACTCGGTGCTGGACATGAGGGACACACACACATACAGACACAACAGCCTGCAGAGACTCACACACACACACTAACCACACACACACTTAGAGACACACACACACACATACAGACACAACAGCCTGCAGAGACTCACACACACACACTAACCACACACACACTTAGAGACACACACACACACATACAGACACAACAGCCTGCAGAGACTCACACACACACACTAACCACACACACACTTAGAGACACACACACACACATACAGACACAACAGCCTGCAGAGACTCACACACACACACTAACCACACACACACACACACACACACACATACACAGACACACACAGACACAGACACAGACACACACACATACAGACACAACAGCCTGCAGAGACTCACGCACACACACACACATACACTCACTTACACACACACACACATACAGACAGAGCAGCCTGCAGAAGCTCTCACACAAACACACACACACGCGCACACAGAGACACAGATACACACACACACATACAGTAAACAACAGCCTGAAGAGACTGCACACACACATGGGCCACACACACTCACACACTGACCACACACACAGACACACACACACACACACACAGAGAGACACAACAGCCTGCAAAGGCTCACACACACACACACACACACAAACACACACACACACACACATACAGACAGAGCAGCCTGCAGAAGCTCTCTCAAACACACACACACACACACACACACACACACACACACACACACACACAGACTCCTCCTCCTCACAGCTGTGTTCTTCTCTTCTCGTGTTTGAGTCTTCAGATCATTGCTGCTGTTCAGAAATTCAGCACAGATATGAAATATTCATCATAACAATTGAATAGAGCTGTTCTGTATATGAGCATACAGTCAAGAGTCGCTCATATCTGCAGTGTAGATCTGCGTTTACAGCATCATTACTGCAGTCATCAGTGTTCATGATCCTCCAGACCATCATTCATATCTCTAATACCAGTCAGACGTGTTCTATCAATAAATATGGAGATAAAACTGTCAATCAAGATAATCATAATACTATATATATATAAATAAATTTCTATATATGTTACTTTTTCTCTTGAATTTATACCAATAATATGGTATAAATTATTGGTATTTATACCAATAATTTATACCAATAATTGAATTTATACCAATAAAATCAACATCTCGCTCATTAATCATCATCATATAGTGATTTCTGAATGATCATGTGACTCTGAAGACTGCAGTGGTGATGCAGGAAATTCAGATGTATATCACATAAATAAATTACAACTTACTATGTATTTACCTAGACAGCAGCTCCTTTAAATTGTAATAATATATCAGATTTTTGCAGATTTTCTGGGATTTTTAACACTTAATTCTCAGCCTCTGTGCGCAGGAGAGTCCTCTGCTGAAACACTGCGGTGTGTATTAATGCAGGAGTGCTGGTGTGAAATGCCTGTTGTTTCTCTATAATGAATGTCTCAGTGGAAACACACCCTCTGTCCCTTGTTTTGTATTAATTCTTAAAAATAAATAAAGTTTGATTTTAATTTGGCAAGAGAAAACTGTTTTTATTGATTGAAAATATTACAGGCAGAATTGAACATACACATTGTCTTTTTAATGTTTTAAAACAATGAGAACAAGAGATAGATACATAAATAGATTGATAAATTAATTAGTAGATTAATGTATGATTAAGTTGAATAATTACTATATAAATAGACAAATTAGATTAATAAATATAAAGGTAACTAATAAATTATTAAGTGAATGAAAAATGAACAAATGAATAAAATGCTGAGGAGCTTCATGTTCACTGATGTTAAATGAGTGTAACGTGTCTGATGTTTCATATTAACTGAACTGAGCAGTCAGATGAATTATTACAGCTTAATAAACACAGTATTACTCTGCTTTACCACGGTACTAAGACCAACAACTCAGTATGTGAATGTAGTGTACACTGTTTACGCACACTTCTGAGGGCACCTTTAGCATGTAGGAGCTGTGAAATGTTAAAGTAGTGTGATGTGAATATGTGTAAGCAGATTTCGGGCGCGCGCTCAGGAGTCGGGGACGCGCGCCGGCGCACGCGCTTCTTCAGTCAGGTTCTGTCAGCGACTCTTCAACCCCTCACGGATGCTCTCTTGACGGAGAAACTAATACTGGAGTAAAAGCAGCGGCTGAACAACAATAATGATGGATATTACTGCAAATGAGCGACGCGTGAACCGCTGGATTATTAAACGCGTTGAATTGCGACGCGTCACGGTCCGTCCACACTTTCACCATTAGAGCAGTTGGAGCTCAACGGGTACTGGACTATTACCTCACTTTACTGCACTTTACCATACTAACACTGTACTTCAACATGCTATAACACTCACATTACTGCGCTTTACCGCATAATTAATGCGCTATTACCACGGTTTACCACACTATTACTTCTCTTTACCCTGTTTCACAACATTAAAGCGCTATTTATGCGGTTTATGATAATATTACTGCACTTTACCACTCTATTTCTGCGCTTTACCGCAGCTTTTACTGCACTTACTGCGCGTTACAGAAAATTAACGCACTATTACTGCACTCTGGCGCTCTTTACCGTGCCATTACTGTGCTTTACCACACTACTTCCTTTTACCAGGTTTTACAGCATAATTAACGCACACTATTTTGCCATCAACTTTGTTTGTTTACAAATGATTGGAATCATATTTTCATAGTCTTTAAGTAAACATGTTGCATTTATCAGAGCAATGCTTTTCTGAGAAGTACTAAATAATAAATTCCAGGGGTCAGAGGTCAGGTCAAATGTTAATTGAGCTCTAAAACCAGTACAATATTAGTTTGAACTTGAGTGACATCTGACCATATGCAAAAGTGTGTGTGTGTGCGCGCGCGCATGTGTGTGTACATATGTGTGTACATGTGTGAGTGTGTATACTGTGTTTTTATATGTGCCTGCATGTAAGCATTCATGTATGCACATGTATGTATAAATGCACGTGTACATATGTGTGTGTATATATGTGTGAGTGTGAGTGAATGTGCATGTGTGTGCGCATATTTGTGAGGTTGTGTGTGTG